CTAACTTATTATTAGAGAAATCTCATGAATTCCATATGTGATGGACACCTGCGTATTAATTTAGATTTAATGTTATTTCTCTGTTTCTTCTCTTTTCCTTTCTCTCTTTACCTCGCGGTCTGAAGTCCGTGGCACGAAAAGAAATCGTTTATATAATAAGTAATTAGCGAAATACGCGGGTCTTGGAGTGAACTCGGTATTCTTATCATAAAATAAATTCGTGCAATGCCAGCCTTCGTTACTTTAATCATTAGCTCGAAATATCGGTCTCTCGGGTCACGAAGAAGGGAGAAAAGAATTGTTTTCTTTTTGCATTAACCGTGTATTTACGTCAGCGAAAAGCTACGACGAGTTTAAGGATGTATTGGCTATACAGTCAATCCCAAAAGTTTATGCACTTTAGAAACGCATTTTTTAAAAAGAAATCAGACGTCGGAAGAACATTGCTAATAATAAACAACAAAAAAAAAATTTTCGATTTTTCCGAGATTTTTCCAAGGGGTATCCCTTCAGATTTCGCGAAATTTTCGTTTTTTGCACATAACTTCTAAACGGATGGACTTACGGGGACATTTATAGGACCATTTTGTAGAGGACGACGAGATCTACAATTTCCATGTAAAAGTTCTTCGCTAGCGTCAATAGTTAACGAGTTATTTGCAAAAAACTGTTTTTTCGTTTTTCGTTAATAACTCGTATACTATTGACGCTAGCAAACAACTTTTATATGGAAATTTTAGATCTTGTCATCCTCTATAAGAAAGGTTGTATGCAATTTTCCCGTAGGACCAACGGTTTAGGAGTTACTGAAGAAAAACGAAATTTTTTGTCAAAAGTTCGCCATTTCGGCGCTGGAATGGTCGGATTTTGTCAACATCAATAAAATGCCAAATAATCATACGTAACTCGTTAAATATCGAAGTAAGAAGGAAAACAACTTTTATTTCAAGCATTTTTCGCAAGCTGAAGATTCACAAGCTGATTATTTCTCTTGCCGAGTTATCTTGGAAGTTTTAGAAGCAGCATATAATACTATACGGTACAGCATTTTGAATGAAAATTTGAGAAGTTAGAAATTTTAGTTCTACTTTGACAACTGCAAACTTTCAATCAAGAATTGATGAGTTACGAAGTAGTATGTTAGCTGCACTCTAAATAGTTGTACTAAAGAAAAGTTATAATGATTGTGAAACTATATTTGAAAATTGAAATTATATTTAGAAATTCTCGATTTTTATTGATTCATCCTTCCTGAATTTTCAACAGCTTCCGTAGATCTGCCTGTAATCATACAGTTTCACGCTTGGGGTGAAATCGAAGTAATTCTCGTGAACCTCTTCTATATTGGAAAACTTCTGAAACAGGTCTTTTTGAGCCTACACTGACTAGACTGACAAGCATATCTAGACGTACTGTACGCTGTACATGAATGCATTTATCTATCTATACGTATCTTCTCGAGTGGCTCTACGTATATTACAGCCCAATAAACCTGATTAACATTGGGTGTTCGTTAATTACAGCATCCCTCTATTACACTGACTTAGCCATGCGTTAATGATTTCACGGCCTCGTGGATTTCCGACGTATCGATGAATCAACGATACGCTGCATTGCAATATGCATTTGGATGCGCATCCTGGGTTAGACTGGATAGATCTGTATTTACATATTCCAGTCGTGGCACCCTAATATCGCGCTCTCTTAATCACCGACGCGGTTTATATACAGAGTGTTTTCAAAAATATGAGCACAACTTTGGGAATAGATTCAGTATGCTAAAACAAGAAGAAAAGTTCATGTACACATATGTCCGAAATAACTCTGTCTCCGAAGTATGGCATTCTTATGTGATACCTGTTATTTAGTAATTCTCATAGAAACAGGAAGACGGAAACGGCTATAATTCGGAAGCAAGGCCGTATCCAGCGTATGTTCATATAAATTTATTTTTTTATTTTAGCGTACTGAATCTATCCCCGAGGTCATGCCCACATTTTCAGAAACGATCCATATTAACCCATTCGCTGCCAAGGACGAGTATACTCGTCTTTGGCAGGGTGTCACGCATTGCCAGGACGAGTATACTCGTCTTTGGTTTTCTGCTTCTAAATGATTATGTATGATAATATATGTGCTCTTATCCAGAAATAACTTGGCAGCGAATGGGTTAATCAAGTAGGTACAAGTCATTGCCATTGCTCGGGACTGATCCTTTTTGTACGAACTGGCTTATTACCTATGGAAAAATGTACATGCTGACAAACTTTCATAATATTGTATTATTTATAAATATGAGCTTCCCACTTCAACTCCCGTTCCCACAAAATCTACAAATCCGGCCCTGTAGATATTAATTACTATTATGTTTTCACATACAAAGATTAGCTGTTTTTACAATACATCGCACTGCGTTTTCTACTGTAGTGAACGGTAGGATTACATTCCATAATCTGTTGATAACGTTGTGAGCGACATGGAAATTATAATGAGGTGTTAGAGCCCCAGAAAACAGGAGGTAGAGAAATACATTTGTTCACAGGTCTGCCCGTAAACAACAGTACAACGGTATATCTAGTCCTTGATGTTTCATTTGATTAATTTCCGTTAATGTAGCGCCCAGTAAAATCCATTTAGTAACCATAATTTGACCTTAGAACTAGGAAGGGTTGTTTAGACCTGGTTTAGACGATACTCTGTGGTTCGAAGCGTATATTGTATTGTATTCTGGGTCTCTGTTGCTTTGTGGTTTTGAGCATAATTAAATGTGTGGTTCTGGTATCCTGTTGCAGAGAGACTTCGAAGTACGAGATTTAAAACGAAGATAAAATGGCGGACAATTACCGGAGAAGACGGTATCTTACCATCACCGTATTACAAATTATCACCATCATGTGTCAAGGTGAGTTCCTCATAGTCTTTAAAAACAACGAAAATTGAAATCGTTATGCGATGCATGCATTGTAAAAAATTAATGAGTGTGAATCTAATGTATGAAATCATTCTACATGTTTGTATAAATATACGTAAATAGAACCGAGATTGCATTACATGTATCTCAAAATATTTCAACTTGTATAGGAGGTTTTAATAGCAAATAAAGGTCAACCAGTGAGGGTTTTTATCATTGAGTTTGAAGAACGTTCGGTAATTCAATTAGAGTGTCGCGAAGGTAATTTTAATTCGAAGATGTGAGAAATGGCTGGATAAGTTTCTGCGTCTGTTACGATAACGACGATAGTTTCATCGAGTAAGTTGACTTTCGGTTCTTTGGGTAGCACTTCTGGCACACGTGCGACATTATCTATCATACAGGCAGAGGTACGCGTTTGCTGTTAATTGCTACCAGCGGACTTCCTGCTTCCCTTTCGAAGTACCGATATGTATACATATTTAACCTGCTAGCGCAATTATGAGAACAATTTCTTATGTCTTGGTCCGATTTCAATCTACCAGTTCCTCATTAAAAGTAAAGTCGATTGTTAAGTACAACGTTTGAATGCAAGATTCGTTAAGACAGTACCAGAGTGTTCAAAACCTTAGGAGTGTGACAACAATGGCGGTTTTCGTTCGACCACTTTTATTCCGTGAATGTCTATATTTTCACGCTAGTATTTTTTCGTACGTTTATATTGGAACTTTCAGGTTTTGAAGAAAATCCTTTAAAATTACATTCAGTATCGTTCTCCGTGATTCACTTCTGTGTTTTTAATTTTTTGCAGCTGGTTTTTGTACCAACCAAAGTAAAAAGGAAATGGGAGGAGTGAAAAAATGTTATTTTCCGATTGAATAGAAATGGAGCTGCATCCGTCGACAAATTTGTTTGACAGTTGAATTTGCGAGTTACGGAACGAGTATAGCTATCCAATTAATTTTGACGTATTCATTTTCGAATCTACTTTTCATTTCATGTATGAGTTACATCGATGTTTGTGAAATTGCAATACATTAAATCATTTGCGAACAAAAATTAACTTTCGAATCGTCCGTTCAACTCATCAGATTTCCCCCTTTGTTCCATGCACAGTAATATTTGTGATTCAATTTAAATTTCGAAAGTATCGTTTAAAAATCCATTTAATCCACGATCCACGTACAGGCTCGTTAAAATGCAGCTTAACGTTTCTCCAAGACGCGACGGTAAATGCTAGTCCCTCCCCTTTCCTTTCCAGAAGGTACCCCGTTCATCTGATGAAAGAAAATTACTGCGGCGTTGTCGCAACGATTCGGTCAACGATTGCCTTCCTAATCATCGTTAGCTTTGCGGGACTTTCGCGGTGTTCGTTGCTCTCTGAAATACTTTGTGAAAGAAAAAGGAGAACAGAGAGCAAACGAAAGGAGAAAGAAACCCTGGATTGCCCTGTCTTTCTTACTATTTTTGCTATCGTTTCGTGCAACCCGTGCACCGAAAAATAAAATTGTTTTTTGGTCAAATTTATATTCACATTCATATCACAATTCTTATTCGGAATGATACCTTTCCTCGATGCGAGCAAGCAGGTTCATGGAACAAGTCACGTGCTTTGAGAAAAGCAAAGAAGACGTTGTATGTGTACCGTACGTACATACATACGTCGATAGCTAGTCCTGCTACCTAAGTATCGTAATATAATTTCGTATTACTTTGAAGCGTTAATTTAAGTCCATATTAATACCACGCGTGTACATAAGATCCGTCAGTGTGCCGACGCAGTTGTGAGGTTTGGAAACGGGTAATTGGTACGACTACACAGATGCATCCTGTGCGTGTACTTTGTTGCTTGAAATTCACAGACTTGCCTATCAGCCAATCAAGACAGTCGGCTATGCATACGAACGAACTCGTTGACGCGACGCGTAGGAGTTCTCACAAAGTCCAATGCATCGATTTAGTTATCTACCGCGCGGCTATTGCCGGCTTCCATCGTTCGTCACGCGAGGTTAAATACCTAAGTACTTGTCATCAGGCAAATTGTTTTGTCACAGACGAGGTGTACGAGTAGATCCATCGCTTCATAGATTTTTGTATTTCACGATCAACTGTCATACTCTCACGAGAAATGAAGGCTGACTCGAGGGTTCGTGATTGATCGCGAATTGATTAGTTGCATGAGCAAACCCTCACTGAGACGTTCAGGTAATACAGTTAAAAACAAGTGAAATTTTTCCTTGGATTTTTTCAAATGCTAAATTCCGTATACTTTTTTTGGTAAAATTTTGACGTTTTTACGGATACGTCATTCGGAAGTATTGAGGAAGTAGAAACTCGTCCCGGTAGACCGATAGTTGAGGCAAGTAATCTTGGCGCGTATATAATAGAATGGTCTCAATAGAGACGTAAAACCGCAGAACGAGTCGGGAGTGGTATAAAGCATTCCGTGATTCGAGTATACACGCTGTTTACCTTTCCAATATGCATTCCGTATCGGATCACCTGTGAAATACCTCGTAGAATCCTATATATGTCTTGTGTATCGCAGGATCTTCCATGGATACGCGATATGTATGATTATACACACTTGAGCAATCCGTGGCTTTGTTTATGCAAAATTCATACATAGAAAAATCAAAGACTTCCCGATTTTATCCATATCAGTCACATTCGTTTTAATTTTAATTAATGACAAGCGAAAGAATTTCGATAGGAGGATAAAAAAAGCTTAGTTGGTGTCCTCTTTTTTCATTTTCATATTGGATGGAAAAACTTGCGGTATCATGTTGATTGATAATGCGCAAGATTGTACAATCTTGATGTAGCCTTAATGTTAGTGTTACAGATAAGAAGTAGAAATAGCGGAATGGGAACAGATAGAAAGGTTGGAAAATGTGAAAATCCTTCGAAAAAACTAGCTAGACCGGCGTATGGCCGAGGCATGGTCGTCGTCGCGTTAAGAACTTTCTTTCTTGAGGTTTGAGGCTTTTTCCACGCGGTCGCGGCAAAGAGAAAGAAAGTAGGGTGCTCTGTTCGCCGCATAAATGAAAGAACATATTTAAGATGTTATCTCTAGCGGTGAGCACGGTCGCATTCAAAGTTGGGACATTAAATGTACATTAATGGCGTTAGGAGAGCGTGCCCGCCACTTACGTAGGCACTTACTCTTCACTCTTCACGTCCCGGTGTCTGTACAACACACGTGCACGGGTTCTTTTGTGCGCGAACAGTGTTGCTCTTTTCTTTCTCTCTGGTTCAGGCCCATCCCAGACATCCTCTTTACTTCATCTGACGACGTGTAAGCTTTAGTAAGGGAAAACCTATTTGAAATGTCATCAGACGGTGATGGAAATTAACCTAATTTAAATGTTCACTGCAATTATATGTCAACTCACTCGAGTCTTGCTAGAAGAACGTGGTATCGATTTTTACAAGGGACCTTATTCAACTCACCGAATTTTTAGTCATCGATTTTGATGAAATTCGGCAGATAAGGTGACGTAAAATATTTGAGACGTACTTATTTTTATCGGCAACCTTAAGTATTAAAAGGGTAAAAGTAGCCCACAAAGTTAGGGCTGCGTAACATATTTTGGCATAAATCTCGAGAACTATAAAGAATAGACACAGTTTAAATTGACGAAATGTGTCTTTTTAAACGATAAATTTAACCGTGCAAACGAATGTGCAGAAAATTCATTTGTATAAATAATATATTAAAAAACGTGGCGTTTTTGTTAATTTTTCTCATTAAATGTTAATATATTTTCTTCGAAACGTATATATGAATACTACAGGGCCACTGAATAATAAATAAAGTTAATATTACTAACTGAAATTTTTATTTGTGCACTCTGTAAAAAGTTTTTTTGCGTTCCTTATTAGTGTCGATATCAAAGTCAGTATAAACAAACGGATTTTACTCTTCTATGTTTATCCAACAGGCCAATGATTGATCAGAGATTGATAAATAAGAATAATAGGAAACAGACGATCCGCTCTAGCTGGCAGATTCTGATCGCTATTACAATGAGGAATGGGGGAAAGTGGAGCGCGTAATGGTAAAATATCCCGGTCGGTGAAGTGCAAGGTAGCCTTTGGAGGTGAGATCGGAAAAGTTTTCGAATGCATAAAAAGCGGCTCGGGTATGTTTTTACGGTGTCTCCCGCACTGGTTGAATACACATGTAAGAGATTCGATACACTCGGCGCAGTAACGTATGTACATGCATATGCGCATTATGTCCGCGGACGGAGAACCGGAGTCAGGCGACGCGGAAAATATAAAGTGATTCCTAGCACGAGTTTGACGGAAGCATAAATGACGACGGAAAAAGTCGCTTTGAAAACCATGAGCGCGAATGAATACCATTGACTGTCGAGCACGCTCGGGTGAAAAAAGCCACTCGTCGGAATGGCCTCTTTACGTGTCCGTTCATCGCGCACGCGGCACGCGATCATACTTAATTTACACTATATGCATTATTTTTGTGATAGTGTAACAGTGCGATTGTATTTTATTTATGCAACGCCCGTTCCGATAATTATCCGAACGTACCGAGCATTGCGTCACGGGTATGTCCGGCTCGAATTCGAAATATTGTTGCGAGGTAACACACGAAACAGATGCGTACGTGTATGTGATTCCGCATTTATGAGAGACATTAATTCGAAAGCACTAACTGTGGAAACGTATGCGCGATGAATCGAGTAAAAATGAAATTTCGATGTATCGGATTCATTGTTCACTGTGTCATTCGCTTTTTTCGTGACACTTTTTATTATTGCGAGAGTCGATACGTAGTTGATACAGTGCTGAAGTAGGATCGGGTACCGCAAATACAGCGGCGCGTTCCGCCGTGCCGTTTCTACTGTATCGCGAACGAAGCCGTACAAAAGATAAAAGCAGATAGACAGGTACGCGTAGCGAGGGTTGAAATGAGAAATATCCGACTAGTGTGTCTGGCTAAAGTTTCTTTCTTCTCCATGGAACGTGGGCGACGATCGTTCTTTCGGCGAATGCACATCGACCAGACTCGCTATACGTCGCGTTGCGTCGTATCGTTATTTAAGGTAGCTCTATTAAAATTCTGAAGTCAAATGTATGTGCATACTAAGAATTCTCAATATTTTAGTTCAACATACATCACTGTCTAAAATTAAGGTAGAATTTTTTAAATAAATTGAAGCAATTATATATAAAAAATAGAATATTTTATATTGTTAAGTTCTTATGTGAGTTTCTCTACTTTTAAATACAAAACAACTTTTTATTCAATTCGGTAATGTATATTTTTTGCAATTATTAGAAAGTGTAAAGATTGAACTTTGGATATCTAATTTTTTATTTCAATCCGCAGATTTGAAGCATACTAATTTTAATATTTTTATTGACAAATGCGTGACTCCCATATACTTTATTCTTATAGTACAACCTTTTAAGCTCCAGTATTTTTAAGAAATTTGTTTGGTAACTTGTTATATTTAAGTACAAATATGGATGATCTGAAGAATAACATGTCACAACTTCATGGCGATCTACACTGTCTTCTATTTTAATAGAACCATCTTAATGAATGGAAATCTATTTAGTGCAAGCAATCGCTTTTTATGCGATCCTTTTATTAAAGAATATGCTTCGCTTCGAGAATTAATGGCTAATATACTCACGGACCCTATCGCAGTATGCTGAATGGATAAACGGATAAAAATATCGAAATATTGAATAAAATTTGTAAAATGATCGTATTTCAAGCTCTTAAATATCTCGCTCGTTCGTTCATTGTTTTGACGTGTAAATGAGATTAAATGGATGGATAGCGTCGCAGCAAGAGTCAGAGAATTGAAAATAATTTCCTTCCTTCAGTCACCCTGCGAAGATAATCTACGATATCTTCGATAAAAGTCGATTCTCTTATTGAAGAAAGTTAGCGAAGCGAAAACGTTTGGAACTAGGTTAAAACCATTTGCCACCGACTATGAGATCAAAATACATTTAACGGTTTACTAGAAGTCACAGACGTAATTGCCTTCACGGAGCTATAGATTTCTGTACAACGGAATTCGTCCTTTGAGCGTTGAGAATCGATGAGAGTCGAGCTTTTATCTTTTCACTCCTAACACATAAACGACTTCCAACGCGGAATGAACGTTATTAGAAGTATCGCAATTTAGTGGAAGAGTCGCAACGTAGATCGTCCGTGTTATCAACGTCACCTGTTCATACACGTGCGTCGATATATCTGGAAAATTAGATCTGCCGCATTCCTGGTTACTCCACTTCTAAATGACTGTTAGCCATCGTTTGAGTATACACATACATTCTGCAAATATTAGGTGAAGTAAAAAGTTCTGAGCCTTTTTTGTCTTTATTTCGACGATGAAATTGACTTCTTGAGACCAGCCTTATGTAAATGGTTCCAAACGGTTTTCTGGCTAATCTTCAGTTCCTGGGCAATAAAATAAGTGCTCGCATGCCGGTCTGACTCGACGATTTCCATGATTTTATCAACGTTTTCGACGATTGGCCTACCAGAGCGTGTCTCATCTTCGACGTCCATATTACCAGAACGGAAACGTTGGAACCACCGCTTTGCTATTGCATTCGATACTGTATTGGGTTCATAAACAGCACAAATTTTTTTGGCCGCCTGCATCGCTTTTTCCCCTTGGTCGTAGTGGTACTGAATAATGTATCGAATTTTCTCCTTTTTTCACTTCCACTTTGGAACGCACTAACACACAACTTGATTCACTCATCAAAAAATTGTCAGAAGACTTTTTTTAAGGCGTTATGTCGCCTTTAATTTGCCGTATAGAATGAGAAGATACAACGTATACATCGTAAGATATGGCTCACTAAAGCCATGTAACGAAAAAGGCTCAGAACTTTTTACTTCACCTAATATGTTTACACTTATTTTCTATATCCTTTAACAGTCTGCAATTAGCTTCCATATTTGAGTGATTATTTCACTGCTTCATTGGCAAGCCTCCATGTTATACCCAGCGTGTAGTCTATACCGGCCGAAATATATCTTTATGTAGGATGGAGGGTAGGATAGGGACGCGTGATACATATGGAATCGCGTACACATATATGGGTAGGGTAGCATGCATACTTCATGAAATAGTAGGTAACTTTTAGCCGGCATTCGGTACGCGTGTACGCCTTCGCAAACTCGATTCGATGAGGAGGAGAGGGTCTCGCGACCAGTTTAATGGCATTTCCGTGCTCTTTTCCGAAAAGGGAAATATTCAGTTTTCGACAGCTGAAAATTCGTGTATCCGTAGCATGATATTCTTAGAGGTAGCGAATACCACGACGAAGGTGGCTTACTTTTAAAACAACGATAAATGTAGTAGTCAACGATGTCAGCCGTACACTTTAACTCCACCAGGGATTTCATATTTTTTCATTTCCCTTCATCTAGCATAGTTTCTAAGATTACTTACTCTGGCCAATTTGGAAACATCAATAAATCTACGAAAGCTGCATTTGTCAAATGATTAAACCGTTAATATTTATCGTAGCTATCGCGAGCGTGAATTTAGGGGAGGGTGGGGTTAACAGAATACCTAAGAACTGTAAAGAGAAATGGAATAGGCTTTTCACATAATATGTATTACTAATATATTTTATCTCTCATATTTATTAGTATTTATTACCAGCATAGAACTGAAATAATTATGGTTTTACAAATCACTACAATTCTTTCATTTCGTCCCACATGCAGGCAATGATGGTCGACAAGCGAGTAACTCAAAAAGAGATTTTTGGTACCTCGTAATTTTGATAGGAGGATATCCTTTTTTGCCGTACATTATGTAACTACTGACTAGCCTCGTAGTATTATAGTAGTAGTAAGATTTTTAGAAGCAAGCCCGCATTGCGTAGTTCATTCTTCCTATGTCTGTTCGCCCTACTACACATGTATCCACGTGTAGGACATTCACGCCTATGTAGATCCGAATTGTCTGGTGGTCGGTTTGAAAACCGCAGAAGGGAGCTTCGCCGCGGGTCGACTTCTGTAAGGGGGCATCGTAAAGTTGGTCGTTCCAGTCGTTATCGCTGCATGTTACACGATTTTACAACCTTCGGATGGTTCCTGGCTGTTCCTTAATATGTACCTGACGCCCACCCGGTCCAACCCGCTCAGACAAACGTTTTCTGCCACCAAGAAATCCGTAAAATTTTTATCTCGGGAGTGCGGTGTACGGCGGGCCAGTTTTATGGACGGTGATTACCGCTCGAAGAAATAACTTGTCTTTCACAAGCGATGTCATTTCTTCTTTGTTGCAATTCTATTGACAAACGATAACTGAAGGAACTCTTGTATTACCTAGAAGAAGTAAACATAAAACGAATTTTTATGTTATATTCTTAATAGTAAATATATAACGTTAATGTTGGAAGTGACCAAAAAGTGAAAAAAGAGAATGAAGAAGAAATATCAAAGAAAACGTTCGCCTGCAATTACGTAGTCGACACTCGTCTGTATTATATGTACGTGTACACATGCACGCTACGCACTGTTTCGGGGAAGGAGAGGGATGAGTAAAAAGTGAGAGTACATTCAAAGGCTTCCGTGGTTATCTGTGAAAAGCCACGCAACCGAATAACGTCGCCCGTTCTAGTCGTCGACCAACGCTCGTGTTCGTCTTCATCTTCCAATGATAAATTACGGCCGCATAATTGCAAAAGGTCGGAGAGCGAAAGTTCATTGGATGTTACACTTGGTATTTGGGTCAAGAGCTCGGGGGTTGAACAGGAACAAAATGTTTAATTGTAGCATCCTTTCTAGGTGCAATTCTCCCTCCATTCTGTCTCTTTTTCGCCCTGTTTTCTCTATACACAGTATCACGGTCCTGTTATCATTGGACGTGATTGTTGCGTCACACAATACACTATAATCCTGAACAGTTATCTATTACTCTGTCCATTATTACGCTTAAATAACATTTTAAATGAGGATTTCCTATTTAAAACTTTCGTGACATGAAAGATGTACGATTGAATGTCATAAAAATTAATGTTTTTCGGGCAGAACAGCTGTTTTGAATCATGCTGCGACGTTACACTGTGTGTCATCCTTTAGGAAAGACAGCCGCTCGACTGGCTGACAGCACGGTGATGATGGAGAGCCGCTTGTTCTGTAGGACCCGTGGAACAAAGTAGGTTCTCGGGGAAAGGATTACGAGATGAGTTCTCGCAATTATTCTGCCGAAATTAGTGCCGTAACTACGGTTTTGTGGCCTTTTCTGCCATACAAGGGTGTAAAGAGGAGGCGGATGGCGGGCAACTTTTGTTCGTCAAATTTTCCGTAACAACTTTTCCACGGTGATTAAGCGGGACGACCGCGACGCGACGCCGAGCTGCGTTTCGAGTGCTTTTCGACACCGAAGGGTCGGAATCTCGGAGGGACCGTATCTAAAGAGAATGAAATTGTCTTTCGCGTTAAAATAATAATCCGCTCGGTGATAATAGCGGACGACGATATCGGTCTCAATCCGAACTTTTAGGAATGCACCGCATTGCGGTGATCCAGTTAGGAGACGAATTTTAATTGAAGTCACCGTACCATTAATACTGACAGTGATGTATAATTTATGACCGGCGTACGTTATCGTCGACACCCGACGGTCTTTGCGTTTCAATCTACTCGAACTCTTTATGAAACTCGTTGACGTTTCGCTAACGCGACGGGAACTTTATTATTTTCGCTTCATCTTGAAATTCTCTATCGAAAATGTTTCGAACGATAATTATTTACGCTGACTATGTATTCGCATCGTTGCTCTCACTGTTCGTGTTCGTATGTACGTATGTATGTCTCTATGACACGGCAAAATCGTGCGAGGTCTATCAAATCAAATCAAATCGATAGCATGCGATCCACTGCACTCTTCCGCTGGAATGTCAAAGCTTTGGGGGACGATTGAATACGTGACATATTCGCGCAGTTATTACATGCATACCCTTTAGGAGAGAATCGTTTATAATAATAATATCAATTTCCAGACGAGAGAGTTACTAGTATCTCTACACTATTATAATGGAGAAATGTGCAATAGTTTCTTACAAAATGGTATTCGCATTACAACTATTATCCATATTTCGTTATCGACAGAACATAGACCAAATACTTGATGGCAATTAGAAGACTCGCATATAAGTACAGTTATTCTTATAAATCAAATCAAAATTCGGACATTGCAGTATTTATAAAATTATTACATTATGTATTTAATTATAATATATTTATCAAATTTATTTATCATAATAAATATATTAATTATCGAGAAAATACATGAGAGAAGATAGAATCGAATCAAATCCTCATTATGTGTAGTGGAGAAAGTGAATCATGGCATGAAAATAGGTTCACATTCAATAGGAATAAAATGGATAAATGCATTATAAATAACAATATAAAACGATAATTTTGCAACTACTATAGCGTCCGCATATTTATCAAAGTGACTGTATATGTGTAATTTTCAGTATAACCAAGGAAGAAGAGCGATTGGCGTTATGCTGTCGAAAACGATTAATGTAAAGCAGCTGACCGTGCCACTTAGCATAAACGGCAAAGGTCGGTGGTTATCGCAGCACGGTAGTGGGTTTGGTAAGCCGGCTTATTGTTACCGTCGAATTCTGAAGCAGCGTCACGGTTGGCTGCTACGGTTCTGCGCGTATCCGCAATTTGTAAGCGGTAACAATTTTGCCCTATAATATCGTATACGCTTCTTTGACCAACTAGTGGATACATGAAGTCTAGTGACCAATTAGTAGATACTTAAACTACGTTTTTGCATGACACCAATCGTTAAAAACAACACTGTTGCGAAAAAAACGTAGAATTCGAGCAAGTACCTGCATTGGATAAGTGGAGAAAAAGTGACTGAAGAATTAAGTTCAATTTACGAAATAGCACTTCTATTCTAAGAGAGATGCTCGTACATGACACGAGCGGTGAAATTACGGGCACTTATAAACTAACTCGCGCATTCACTCGTTCACCTGTTGACTTTGGTTGTTCGGTTGATTAAAAGCGACTGAGCCAGCCGTCGAATGGAGAGGATTGATCTTGCGTTCGGGATACACGTATCTACAATACATATAGGTATGGATATAGATACAGATATAGGATACGGTAGCGTTTCAACTCGGAGAGCGTAAATCGAATCACGAACGCTGCAGCTGCGTGGCGAAAAATTGGCGACTTTAATAAAATGTTACACCAGGCTACAGGCAGGGTATGTACCAGCGAAAACGGATGACTCTCGCATGACAGTTATTGGGCTGGTCGACGAGGAGGGCTGGGTTTAATAATGCAGGACAATCAATCTTGCTTCGTAAGTGCGTCATGCGAAGAAAGATACTCGTTTACGGGAAACAAATAACGTTGCTCTACATACACCTACATACGTGAAACACGATCGAACCAGCGGAACGGTAACTTTCGGAAACGATAACCCGGTCAAGGAGATCTTAAATTAACGTTTTCAAGGTTCGCGGATTTATTCGTTTCCGAAGAAAAGGTGCGAAAGAGAGTACGGGTCACGTTCGAAACTGAATAAAAACTCATGTAATTATCGAAATAAATTGCGGGCATTAATTACGTGGCAGTAATTTTACATTTAGTTTATCAACTATTGGCAGTAGGGTATTTCTCGAATATCAGATCGTCCAACGACAATTTTTGATGAATGCGTTGTAACGATGCCGGCGACAACGGATTAACATTCTCGTCCGGAATCGGGTTCACGCGGAGCACGGTGAATTGTTGAAAAGAGCTGGGGCACGGCTGATGCAAAGAAGGAGATAAACCCGACGAGTTGCTCGGGCAACTTCTTCGCGCTAATTTGAATAACACTGCAACAAATACTAATTTCACCGTGCTCTGTTTGCCTCGGGAAGCCAGCGAGAAAGCTCTCGCATGCAGGAGGATACCAAGGTAACGGTAAACGGGTGGGGGAGGCTAGGAGTGGGGTCGGTGGAACGTCTGGAGTCTTAGATTAATCTAGGGGTGTACTGGTACCAGCGCTGGTGCTGCTGTTTCCAGGCTAAAGTTTTCCTCTCGAAGCGACGGCAACCTAGCTAACTCCCATGACAGGGGGAGAGAATACTTGTCCAATACTCGTATAAGTATAGTCGAGGTAGACCGACTAAATGAATATAAATGACGTTCCCGCCTCACCCCATCGGGTGACCAGAACGAACGTGTACCGAGGATTTTCGGTGTCTGCGCTTCCTTCCAACCCTGCGAAATCCTCGCATCACTTAGCGACAGGATAATGTATGTACACGGACGGGCTCTAATGTAAACGAGCCCCCGTGACCAACGGAATGGCTAATCTCGCCGCTCAATCTAATACCATCGAGTCCAATTTTTCGTTTCCTTTCCTCGGCTGTACATACTTCTTTCGGAAAGAATTGCGCTCATAGTTTTTGCTAGGCACATAAAGTGCTGGTTGTAAGTCGTATCTGTTGTGTTAATTAATCGTCTAGGAAGATTATACGCATGGTTTAATTCGTAAAGGGATTTCCATTGTCGTACAGTCCCTCAAAGCCAACTAGGGTTATTAATAACAGACACGGAAGAACAATCTCGTGAGGTTGTAATTATGATAAACAGGTTCGTACCGCGTTGAAGTACTTCAGCGGTGTTAAGATTGCCTTAGCCTACTTTAGCAGTTGATCCTCGACACGGTCGATTCGAAGAACGTAATTAACTAAAGGACTTGTCGTGATGGTTCCGCATGAACGATATATCATCGACCGCATCTAACTTATTTCACAAACGATTGCGGAATGATTAACCAAATTTCTTCATTCAAAATGGAAAACTGAATTGCTCTTGACTCTTGGCGTAGCATGGTTCGTTACCGATTCAGTACAATTAACTAGTACAAATTAACTGGTTCAATTGGTGAGTCGAAATTAGGATAAGCAATACCATCAGATGCTAGATCTTATAGTGTATATAGATAGGTTGACAAACAAATTCAGTTGAAAATCGTTTAAGGTATTTGTTGTCTAAAACGATATTGTTGCGAATTGTTCGAAATTTTGTAGAAAATTAATATCCGTGACAAATAACATGTATGCATAATCCTATATCGATTGACCATTTTTTTTTCGAAATATCGTCGGTCAAAATTCGCCAGTTTTACTATAGTTTAATATTGGAGTAATATGGAAAAATATCTCTCTTCGGTTATTGCAGTTCATCGAGTAATGATGAATATTTGAAAAATGTGACGAAACTAGTGTAAATTATAATAAAGCACATAGACTTATTGTTAGTCACTGAGTAATATTATTCTATCATTTTTATATCATATTATTTTATCATTTTTCACGCCGATGAGAAGCTCGATAGATGTGGCAGCTTTCAGTTCCAAGCTTTCGGAAGATACAAGTGTATAATTTTTTTTTAAAATATCTATTTTTTAATTTTATAGCATAATATAATAAAAATTCGTCCTTTCTAATATGTGAATCTTTAATATAGAAAAATTGTTGTATTCGTAACCGTTTATTTTTATATATTATCTTGACTAATATAATAGGACAACAACCACCTCAAAAAGTTACGATTAGACATCAATGGACGTCGATTGACAAAATTTCTGGTCGGTCCTGATCACGCCAGTTAGAAGTAACTTAAAGAGGCCTGCTGTTCCTTCTAATAGCTGTTACCACAAACGCAACCGCGCCGATTTGCTCCGCTTTTATCCGATATTTTTTTTTATGAAGCGTTTCATGGAAATTGCAAAATTTGCCCCATTAGATCCTATCCTTTCCCCTAACTCGAGTACCACCCCGTCTTTTACATTGCTAATATAGAGAGGAAAATTAAGGACGACTTGGCAAACTCCTGAAATGAAATTAAGCTGCCGCGCCATGCCGCGCAAACGGTCGATTCAATTAAACAGCTAGTCTTTTTTTCACGCGAGTATTTCGATCCTCTCTTGTCCTGATAATTTCCATCTACGAATAAAGTACTCTGCTCGGGATATGTACTTGACGAGCAATCGGAACTATGGTGTGACACAGAACGAGACTAAAAAAAAAGAGAAAATTTTTTTGTTGCTCGTAAATTTCTTCTTTGCGATCCGATACGGTGGATTAACGGTTTGACCGTATCGAGAAGGCGTTAAAAGCTTCGTCGGTTATAACTCGTGATGATCGGAAACTGGAATCGGGGCGGCCGATCTAACGATAACGATCGGAGTCGGATACATTGCTGAATTGGCGAAATATCCGTAGGATTTCGGTACGAATTAAAAAAGGCACGGTCATAAGCTGCGCTCCCGGTCGAAAGCCAATGGCGTCTCCGTTGAGTGTAACAGATTCTAATGGTTATGCTTATGGTTACTGCCAGTGGAGAAATAAAAAAGAAAAAACGGGAGAAAAAGAATCGGAGGGAGCAGAGGAGCGTGCTCGTTTCTAATTACTTTAGAATATCTGGCTCGTTAAGGGCTCGCTACCACTTAGCTATCCGACTCATGTATTATACAATATTACAATGGATAGTTCACGTTTCTTTTTTCCTCTGTCCCAGTACGGCTGTTTTCTTCTTTTCTACGCCGGATTCCGAAATTAACAACAGCCGTTTAATAAATACTATCCACGCGGTTGTTGCGGAACGAGGTATAATTTAGCAGCGGGACGCCATGGTCGAGCATGGAAGTTTGTTGCGGCGGTTGAATTATCGTGTGAACTCGCCACGATGCTCGCTTCTTCCCCCCAACGTAATGGAATATTTAATCTCTTTTTGACACGATTATTTAAATTTTCTCCGACTACGCATGAATAATGACGTTGTACAATACAATCGAGAATAATTGGATTTATTTTTATTTAAATCGTCGAAACACGATATCTAACCAGATTGTTCTCAATGGCTATTACGACAAGGTCAACGTCCATCCAAGATTCCTTGTACACATCTTGTTAGTTTACTCAAAAGCATTATCGTTGTCCGAGTTTAAGCGAACAGCGGTAGCGTACGCGTACGTGGCGAGTACTAGAGTAGTACCATGTATTGCGCCAGTAGAAGTAGTATAGGTCAGCGCTTACAGTGACATGCTGCGCCGCGAGGCCACGCTAGCAACGTCGCGCGTTAAGCATACATTTCTAATGCTACAAATTGCTTACACACACAATATGTGCACATCATTTCATATTCATAGAGATCTATATTAAATGTTAATGCACAAATTCTACTTATTGTTTATTCAGTAATTTCATTGTGATTGAATGTACGATCTTCAGAATTGCCCGACTGGTAAAGACGCAACAAGTACAAAACGTGCAGTTTAACAATGCAAAAGTTTGGGTCGTATCATGTGATCACGAGCGAAGTTTCTATCACGCGATGTTCATGAACGTAAACGTCACATTGATTCCTAAGTAGAATAGTCACAGTGTAATCCAGAAAAACGAGAAGAGGCTGCGAGGCAATGCGACTCGTGGCACTTCGCAGTAGGTAGATCCTTCGCTGCTCGGGAACAAGTGCTAGCAACTTAAATAATAAATATGTATAACGGAGTTTGATATAGTGTAATTTCGCCAAGTTTATACCGCGGGATGTATCTCGCGGCTGAAACTTTACTTTGGAAGTTGAATTACCACGTGCACTTGCCCCTCACGGGCCTGACGGTGGACCAGTTACGTGACTGAATGTTTAATATGCTCGGACGCACCACCATTATCGCGCTAGGCTTTGAATATTTTAGGACGGGCGTCATTTGCCGGCGCACACATGCGCGCGCACGAGGTTCTGCTTTCTCGTAGACGGGAAACATCCTCGCGCCCAACGAGAGTCGTAACTTTAATCCTTAACTTAGCATACAGGAAATTGTGCCGGTTTCTTTCGGTTTACCGCTGCGCGCTCATTTTGCGAAACGTTTTTGTCCGTGCATTTTCCATAGACATCGTTCTGATCCTTCGTTCCCAGATTAATTGAGAGAAATTTGCCAGTTCCGATCAGAAAGCGGCTTCACGAATTCATTCAGCTAGGTATTAATTCAGCCGCTCACTGTGTAGCGCGTAACCTCTTTATGTACGAAGAACCGTTCTTGCTTGGCT